CCCCCCCCCCCCCCCCCCAATTTCAAAATATCAAGTCCAAAAATACATATCTCTTCTAGAAAATCAGTCGAAATAGAATATATAGTGTTTTCTAGTTAATCATTTTTGCTTTTCTTCCGTGGATTCTGTTTGCATTCATTATCCTAATTCATAGAGAAAGAAAGATAAAAGACAAGGTTACCATTAAGTGCTAAGCAATCATGGAGCATAAGTGTTACCTATAAGTGGTAGCATGCCAAATACGAACTGTACCATCCTCAGAACCTGTAATTATAATGGGAAGTTCTGGATGGAAACATACAGCAGAAACATTGTGTGAGTGGCCTTCTAGCGTCTGGACACAACTTTTCGTCTGATAATCCCAAACCTGTTTTGCAGGATTAAGAGACAAATTTATATTCTATTGTAGGGGGGAAAAAAAACAGAGCAAAAGAGGAAACAGAAATAAGGCACGAACCTTGGCAGTGTGATCATCAGAGCCAGTGATTAAATAAGGTTTATCCCCACCTGTGAAATAATCTACACAATTTACCCCTTTCAGATGGGCATCCAGGGTAAAGTTTGGGTCTGGGGAGCCAAGATTCCAAATCTTCAAAAACAAAAGCAGGCTCATAAATGGAACATCATAGCATACATACACCCTTGAAAAAGTTTAATTATGTGCAATATATCTATACTTGTACCTTAATAGTGCGGTCAAGGGATGCACTGGCAAACGTGTTGGTGTCCTTCGGATTAAAAGTAACTTGCATCACATAATGTGAATGCCCCTCAAATATTTGAGTGCATGCCCACCCCTTTTCCCAGTCCCAGAGCTTTATAAGCATGTCATCAGACGATGACAACACATATGGAAGATTAGGGTGAACGGCAACACACCTAATATAATCTGTATGGGCCTCCAACACTTTGACCTTATCCATAGTGTTGTAATTATACACACGAATGAACATGTCATCGGCACCAGCAACAACCCACTGCTTACGTGCTATGAACTTTGCAGATCTAACTGTAAACGGATAGAGTAGACATTTCAATTCCTCGTCAATATAAAAAATGCTAGTGGAAGTATTTATTTAGCAACCCAAAATTACATAAAATTTTAATCACACACCTGGTAATTCAGTGACCTCAAAAGATTTAACCATTGTCTGCACCAGAAAAACGAAGTTCAGAATTAGCATTCAGGTTTGAGGAACTAACAAGAGAGCAGACGAATAAGAGAGAACTGAACAAAATATCAGGAATTTTAATATTTTCCGCTCACATTTCATGAAATATGCTTTAATTCACACTTACAGCATCATAACAAGAAACGGCAACCATAAGCATAAATCATGTTCGATATATATAGAGAGAGAGAGAGAGAGAGAGAGAGAGAGGAATGAAATTAGCTCTTGAAAATTTTCAAACAAAAGAAATGTTAACTTATAATATCTAATGCATATTATGCATGTAGCTTACAATTGCCCTTCCCCATAAGTTGTACAGAAAGAAACTTTTTTTCAAATTACTGATTGTTATGAATTAACTATTGTGAATAGAGGAGTAAGAAAGGAGGGCTGCCTAGGCCATCGGTCCAACCCACATACAGCACAGTCCAGGCCTTTTAAATTGATGGCCTCTACAGTAGTTGTTTGATAAAAGGTTATTTCTAAGGAATTATTGCTTTTCCAATATGCATGAATAATCACATACTAAACAGATTTGGCAATATTTGTAAGATATTCGTAATGAATATGATGTTTCAAGTAAATTCTTAATGATAAATCGATGATAATAGAAAATGATCACATCAGCTGAATTTCATACCTGGCTCTGATAGTTCCAAATGCAAACAGTCCCTGAATACAAACTTGACAATATCCTGCAAAAGGAATATAAATTCTATCAACATGGAATTCCGGGACATTTAACCCTGAACAAAGACACTAGCATCCACAATCATTCTCCGATATCCAACCAAGAAATGGTAATGTACAGAACCCAGATTCAATGGAGTAAACAGAACAAATAAATACCCAAACCGAGCTTTGCAGTTTTAAATCCAACGCCATAAAATTTGCAACTTTTCATCACTCGGAAACAGAACATAGAATGTAGGTTAAATTTTGCATGTTTTGACCACACAAAAGGATAACAACGTAAAATGCAGGTTAAATGGTTTACTTTGAACACGGCGACTACTAAAAAGCAATATATATAACTTGGACTTTCTAAGCCAAGGATTATTTCTTATCAAGAATATAAATACAAATTGGAAATATCAAAGAAACACGAAAATATTATTTAATTACATGGGAAAATATAACTACCATGGCTCTGTTGGATGTAGATCCACGGACTTTACTCTTTCTGACCGTTGTGCGAGTTTTCTCTGAATAAAATGATTCCATATCAGCATCCAACATCCTTTTTAAGAACCATCCAACATTCACGCACACAAAATAAAAACTTTACTTCAAAAGTTCCAAAATAAAGATTTTCAGTACCTTGATTTCTAATCTGAGCGGCTGCATCACACCGATAGTAGAATTGCAAACAAGAACAAAAAAAGTGGACGAATTGAGTTAGTCAATAAAAACAGAAGCTCCAGATCTCAAAAATAGTGAATCAACAACAAATACAAATATGAGACTCTAACTGAAACCAAGAATATGTCAGTTTCCTCACGAAATTGTGAAAATTTACTAGCGAACGCGATTGATATAATCCCGAATCAGATCTCAACCAGATCTAACAAAATTACCAATTTCCAAATCCATTAAACTCACCATTTTCACAGATTTTCAGTCCGAGCGTGAGATCGAAGATTAAACGAGTCGTGAAACACTCGCTCAGATGCTGAGATCAAGAGAGTGTGTGTATCTAGTATTCAAAATGTTCGTAGAGTATTGCTAATATAGCGAGAGCGTAAAATATGAAATTTTTAATTTTTATTAAAATTTTATGTAGAAAAAAGGAGAGGTTTTGCTCATTTTAAAATGGAGATGATGCCTTAAGGAGAAGCAAAAATGGCGATGTCATCTGCTGTGGTTCTGGCCGTTGATCAGTCTGAAACATTACTTCAACGGTCTAGATTAATGTTTCAAGTA